TTATGCGAGTGTATAATGTACCCTGTCGCTCATATACTTGGAATATTTTGTTTTACCCCAATTTATGGAATTATTTTAAAATTAATTAAAGATAATAGATCTAGATAATAGTATACATTCTCAAATTGTATTGAATGATAATTTGCCAATGTGTGTTTTGCGTGACTGCTAAAACATGTGTATGCTACTATGCTTATCATCTAGGGGACCTACGCCCTTAAGTCATACATGACAGTAATGAGGATTAATGCCCCACAAAAGGGCACTAATATAGCACATCGACACGGTTTTGATCCTGGGGCCTCACAGTTACGAGGCCATTGCTTTGTCACTGAACCATGACTGTACGCAGTGGGGGCTTGGGTAGGAGGCAGTTTCCATAAATAAAAAAACAACACAGAAAATGCAATAAATTTTCAATAATTTATTGCATTTTCCCCGGTCCCCAACATAAAAAAATCCTCTGGACGGCCATGAATTATGACTCAAGGCATGGGCACACAGAGAAGTTTTACCGTGATCGGAGCATAGGGAATTTGGTGAACATCGCCCTCATGCGTCTGATCCTATTAGAAGATCAACAGGTGAATCATGTTTGGAATTTATTCTTTTTAAGAGAGAGAGAGAGAGAGAGAGAGAGAGGAAGAGAGACACAGAGAGAAACAGAGAGAGAGAGAGAGAGAGAGAGAGGAGGAGGGGGGGGGGGGTTCCAATCAAATTTGAAATAGCAAGTGTGATTTGCAATACTACCACTCAATTTATTCACATTTTTCTACGTAACCTGTATCCTTATTCCTCTTTCTTCCTCTTTTTATTATTTTTGAAATATTAAACAAAAAAACCTAATGACGATCTAGAATCCTAGTGTCAGTCAGTTTGATGAATTAATGTGATTGCCATTGACCTTTGTGACCTTTCTATCGTTTGCTGTAATATGTCTAATTTGTTCGTGTTTCATGTATTATGTTTATCATTTTTAAAGTTGGATTGAACTGCAACGCAGCAGTCAGTTCAGAGTTTAGACATTGAATATCATATACATGACTTATATTGTTAAAGGACGACCTAGAGATCTCTAACAACGCAGACGACACATTGAATAGCTTCTGCGCATGGCAAGACACATTGAACCCGGAAGGTGATGAGCAACACAATCACCATGACAACGCAATACTTCTTACCAGGTGAGGTCAATCCCATTCAGGCTAATAAGTATGGATGAAGTAGAACAAATATTAGTAAATTACACATCCGACTATTTTTAATCCTTTTTCTTTTTGTGTTCTTTTTTGTTCTTTCTCTCCCTCTATAATATATTATAGTATCAATGACTACGCCTCGGGCAATAGCACAATTGTAACTTCACTTGAGCGTATAAAAACAACTATTTCTCGAATAATAAAGAAGTCAATAATACTTTTATATGCCGAAAAAAAGTCAACTTATGACACCACCTTGGCCTTTCTCTAGTTTATATGCACGGTTGTTTTTTATAAGTGTATCTTTGAGAGTATAGACTAGATCTAGATTCTAGTCTAAGCAAGATATTTTTACAATTTTGGGGGTGGGCCGGCCCTGTGGGGAATATGGAGAAAAACCTGCACTTTCATATGACACCTCACTTATTGAGTATCACCTTTAGGATCACAACAGATAGAGGTTTGAATCTCGAATTGAAAGAAAAAAACTTGACTTATTTTGCATGGTCGCACAATGCACGTAGACTGCATAGAGACTGCATCGCGTGCAATCTCTATGGGAAGAATTAGCACACAACATCGGGTGCGCGATCAGACACCCTGACTACTACTAGATCTAAGCATTTTCAGCAACTAAACGAACATGTTTATGGATAATTTCACGTACCCTTTTTGTTGTGCTTGCTGTCAGCGAGTCTTGCATTTGATAAGTTGGAATCTTGGGAGAGTTTCTCAAGCCATTTTTGTCTTGTTTGGAATTGTCTTGTCTTGTATGAAAATACCGACCAATTCTTCGCACACGTACGGTATCCTCGATCGCTCAAACCATTTCACCAAGACTGAACTATTTTTCCGGTAACCATGGTAACTGGGATTTTAGAACCATTTTTTAAGAACTATTTTCCCGGTAACCATGGTTACTGGAATTTTAGAACTATTTTTTAAAACTATTAAATGGGTTTGGAATTTTACCGGGAATTTTACAGGAATAGTTAAAGTTTATGAATGCAATTTCGACCAATCGGATGGCTGGATTTCTTAAGTGAGGTATATAAATATATTTATTGATTCTCTTTAGTGATTCTCTTTATGTTTCTGACACTTTACAGTTTCTTGCCTCATTTTTTTCACCCTACGTACATCACCCTTTCTCCTTTTGTCTAGTTACCCTCTTCTAATCGTGAATGAAACATATAAAAATTCAATTGTTGTCCGAACAGTTTCAAGTAACTAGAAATTACATACAACTTCAAATTTATATTCATTTTTGGATAATGATCTTATTCAGTTTTATATGTAATTTAGAAAAAAAGTTTAAATGGTTCAATGATAAATTTATAATCATTGAATTTTCTTTGAAGGAAGGACCTGTGCCGGGGTTCTGATATCTGCTTCACGTTGGGGTTGGCCCACGTGTCTGGCATGTGTAATAGGAAGCGAAGCTGTAGCATCAACGAAGACAACGGCCTTGCTGTTGGGTTCACCGTGGCGCACGAGATGGGACACAAGTAAGAATAAGCGTAAATCAGTGTCATATCTATAGCCGAATGACTTCCGGAGCAAGCAATATATTTGGACCCCCTGCTCAAATTTATCAATTAAAAATACGAACCAGTCGGGAAGCAAAGCGATGTTATTTTTGTTCTGAATTTTGAACCCGTTAAATCCTCAATTTATGGAGTACCATATAACAGGATCCAGAAGAAACACATGCGAGAGAGTATCGTGACCAAACTTCAGAAATCGTTGGCACGTGAGACTTTAACAAAATATGATAAGGCATTTCGGCATTGACTGGAGGTGCATATATTTTTTAATGACCCTGAAATTTATTGGTTTTCTTTCCCTTTCTCTTTCTCTCTTTGTCTACTTTGTGCGCCTTTCAAGTACCACCCTTGGCACTTCCCCCGCCTCTGCACTCCCTAAATACACCTCGGGTTAAAACCATCTTACACTGTACGAGTCGACTAAGATCAGATTGTGAACGAAATCACAATATAATCAAACATTAAAAATGTAGGCATGTTAACTATTCCTGATTTCAACTTAATACTTGCCATGATTTCAGTCTGCAGGTAATTAGTTTTAGAGGGAGAAGCCTCAATTATTAAGATCACGGTTCTATCAAAAGTACATGCTCTCAACCGTCATGATTTTGTAATCAGTATTTTGAGGTAACGTCGGTAACGAACAAAAAAAAAAACTTCACGGAAATGTGTTATGGTTTACCCTTATATAGCTTTGGCATGCAGCACGACGGCATTGATAACCCATGCTCGTTTGACGATGACCCGAGTGGCCCATATGTGATGTCTTCACGGGTTCCTAGTGGTCTTACACCCACAGCATGGTCCTCCTGCAGTAGAGAATACATCACTCGTTTCCTAGAGTAAGTACAAATATGGCGGCAGCGGTAGGATCATGAGGCCATTTTGGTTTTTATATTTAGACATCAAATCAATAATGGACAGCGGTCCGTAATTGTGACGTCTTCTCGGGTTCCCAGTGGTCCAACACCAATTACATGGTTTACTGTACCAGTGAGTACATTTCAGTAAGAAGAAATAATGTTGGCAACAGTGGGATTGTGGCCATTCGGACTTAAGATTGATTCAAATTGAATCAGATTATATATGGATAGGTCCATTCTTAATGTCTTCCAGGTCTTTTTAGTGGTCTTACATCCACTTTATTGTTTACCTGTACCAGAGAGTACAGTAGAGTAAATAGAATTATGGTTGGAGCGATGGAAATATAAGGCCTATCAGGTGCATATGTGATATCCGCATACATCTATAGTGGTCTTACCCATGATCTACCGGCAGCAAGGAGTAGCTCACTTTATATTTAGAGTACATTGGCGACAGCGGTGGGATCGAAGGAAAGTCGGACTTATGAACGGCTTGACAGAAGAACGTTTTTATCTGTAAAACAATGAATATACGAGTTAGAGATTGCTTTACCTAAAAATTCCCAATATTTAAAACAAAGCTATGGCATTTAGAATACCAAATTACTCACATTTCTTGCAAAAAGATGATTTTGTTAATTAGTGATTGGAATTTGTTCTGAATCATGTCGTGAAAATTCAATATTATTTGCACGTATACTTATGATTTCTGCAGTAGTGGACGGGGTAGCTGCCTGGAGGATACGCCTTCATCAACACCTTACAAATATCCGAAGGTTCTACCGGGTGTCATGTACTCGGCAGACCATCAATGTCGTCTACAGTACGGACCGAATGCAACTGCCAGTCCCATGTTTGAAGTAAGAATCTTTGCAATTATCTTTACTTTAATCACAAAGACGAGGAAAAATTTCAACTACCACTCTGTGATGGATAAATAAGAGGAGCGAGGCAGACAAATAATCAAGAAGTCGATCGGTTTTGGAATATTTGAAAAAAATTGGGCAGGGATTATAAAAAATAAATCTTTAGCTTTTTGTCAAGTATTTTAGCGAGAAATTCCAATGTATTGGATAATGTTTAAAATTGAGTTCATGAGCATGACTACAGCATTTTCCATTGATTTAATACCCCAACAATCTTAAGCGTTTATTTCTACTTGAAATCATGTCTCTCCTTTTATTTGAAATCTTTCTTTTCCTTCTTCACTAATTCTCTCCTCACTTCATTCCTTTCTTTGTCTATATGTATCTATCTTTTAACTTTCCCTCTTTATTTTCCAACTTTCATTTTCATCTCTTTCTATAAACTCTAATTGCTTATACTCCATCACTCCACTCCGCTGAGTCCAGTCTGATCTCTGTACTACCCTGTGGTGTAGCGTAGGAGTCATGAAGAGATCACGCATGACAGCAGCTGCACAGGGTTCTCGGTGTGGGAAAGACAAGGTTAGTACCGTTAAAAAAAATAAAGGGTCACCTTCAAACATCTAGTGGTGTAATCTCACACAATAAGGCCCGAAGTCACAAAGGAAGGTTGTCGTAGGGGGTAGTTGTCGTAGGGGGAGTTGTCCAGAGGGTATTCATCCTAGAGGGTGGTTGTCCTAGGGGATAGTTGACTGGGGGTGGTTATCCGGGGGGTTGATGTCCAGGGGTAGGTGCCCTAGAACCCCTAGCTAGATATTTAATAGGGGCCTCCAGAAATGTCTAAGCCATGGGGAGCTTAGAACAGTTTCTCCACGGGCTGTCAGATATTACGGCTTGAGGCCCCGTTGATAAGTGTTCTGAGGGCCGGTTATAGGTTGAGTTGGCCTGGTTACAACGGAATTCTCCAACCGAATTTCAGTTCCAGTCCGTCCCTGCATGAATGCTTCATTAATTGTAATATACTTTGGATTCATAATGCTATGCTAGATCTTGCAATAACTAATGCAAATTTATAAAACAAAGGTGAGGTCAGTAGATATAGGGTCGTCCCCCAAAATTGATAAAGAGTGTGAGAACAATATGATTTTAAAAATCCGTTATTGAACACTCGAGTACATGTCACATTCACAAACAGTCTCGACCGATTTGATCCTGAAATCCCTACCTCGACCTGCCGTCATAGTTACAAATGCTTGGTTTGGCTTGTTTTATTCACGGCCTAAAAACATTCCATTCACAAATATAAACATAAACGAATATTTATATAAAAAGAATATGACTGAATTGCTTTCTTCAAAGTCATTAATGCAATGGCCTAGATCCTGTCAGGGCCAATGACATTATGTATGATTGTTGTTAAAGATATCTCTTCTTTGATTGTGTTCAGTGGTGTATATCTGGAGAGTGTATCGACATCGATGAACATCCCGTGGTCATCGATGGCGGATGGGGTCCATGGAGCGAGTACTCTGAGTGTTCCCTGACGTGTGGACGGGCCGTCAAGTCTAAAGAGAGACACTGTAACAACCCAAGGTATTCTTTTCTGACTTTTCGGATTGCCATCTCCATTATCTTATAAGATGTTGAAGTACATGTATTACGGTTTATAGCTTCGAAAGAAATATCACGATGGAGTAGAGGTGTTCAAAATTCATGTGCACTTGACAGAGCTCCAATGATTGATGTACAAACTTTCTATGTGCAACCTGCTGAAGATTATAATGCAGCTACACAATTTTAGATATCGCTGGGTTACGGTCGTAATCTGATCAGTGGTCGTAGCTTAGATCGTAACATGGGCTTACTATACTTCGTGCAGTAATGTTCGTGCTGTAGAGAAACCGATCGGCATACTAAAATACAGCTCCAATGGGCGTTTTGAACGAAATCTTTATCCAGGGCGCCTAGGGGATAATGACCATGTCATATTCCTGCGGATCGGTGTTCCTTCACTATTAAACACAACTGCGGCGACAGCCAGCGAGTCCCCAGACGAATCATTCCGGGTAAAGTTTTACGAATACCAACTCAGAGAAATTATTTTTTTTGTTTTACCATTGCTCCTGTAGTCCATCTCATGGAGGAAGATACTGTGTTGGTGAGAGAAAGAAGTATACCATGTGTAAGCTTCAGGTACGTATACTATTAACTTAAATCGACTAATTTTGAAAAACAACTATAGATGGAAGCATGACAAAATATAGGGTTCAGAAACATCGATTTACGTACCTTGGTCCTAGATAAGACGTTCATTCATTCAGGCAGTAATGTAATCAATCGGTGCAGAGAAGGGCAAGTACAAGGTTTTGATCATTTGTTGCCCTGTACGTCACCAAGTGCTATAAAGTTCTGAACATAATTATACTGACTTCAAATGTATCTGGTCTGATTAAAGCTCTAGTATTGCTATTACGACAATGATCATATGTTCTAACATCTTATATCATCTGGTCTGTGACGTACGGGACACACTATAGCTTGGACTTACACTATTATGATACAGATGGAAAATATTTATGTTATAGTTGCAATGTTTAGATATGTATCAGTGGTAGAACCAATGGGATGGAGCACCTCTTAGATGTCTCATAGTTGTGACATGAACATTTCGTATAGGGGGATTAACAATTAATAGGACCCCTGGTTGCTAATGTTCGTTTTCTATTTCTTGTTGTAATTATACATATGTTTTGTGTATTCAATGTCACTTACAAATAAAAAACACTCTTCGAAATCATGGATTTGCCGGTACGGGTACAACGGTGCCTTCACCAGTTGTCGCTCGCCTCTTTATATAATTATTACAAATATAATACACACCAAATTGTTTCATCCTTATCTCGACTTTCAAAGTAAAACATGTATGTGGCTTTGATTCCGTGAAATATAAGTCATTGTTGCTTTTATTTTTTCTAGGATTGCGTTCATGAATCTGTGAGTGTTCGTGCCATGCAGTGTAGTACCTATGATACAATCCAATCGAATGGTACTCAACTCGCATGGATTCCAGTCGATGTCGAAGGTGCGTGGCGTAGTGGTTCATTCACTTCAAAGTTGATGATTCGAATCCTACCCCCCAGGGATGGTTTGAGACTAAAATTCGGTTGGGAAATTTTGATGCGACCAGCCCATTCACTCTTCCTTCAAAGAAGCTTGGGGCCTACTAACTGTGTCTAATACCACAAGTCAACTGGCTATAAAACTGAGTGGCTCATGGCAAAAATTTCACCTCAAATTCCTTTCACTCACAATGGCCCCTGAACATCAGCACAATGTCTCTTGGCCAGGGTTAATCTACATTTCCACTGTAAGACAAAGGTGTAATAAGTGGGGACTTTTCTTGGCAAATATAGATATTGATTTTCTTAAGGGGGAGGGGGGGGGGGAGGTGATGTGACCGAGTGGCTTGAATCATGAAACAAGTGTGGAGAATTCCTCCTTAAAATGTAGTAGAAGTATCTTCTACACGGAATGTATGAAAATATGTAATTTTACTTTCGCCCTTTTCTTCCTATTCTGACAGTGTTTCTTTCTGTATTTTCCTTTGTCTTTTCCTTCTTTTCTTATAGGCTAATATAAATGATAAACAATCTTTTTTCTCATTATATTTTTTTGTAGATAAACCTTGTGAATTGTTTTGCAGACGTCGTGATCAAGCATTGATAAAGAAGAAGTCAGTTCACGTGACCAATGGAACTCCCTGTACTCGCTTCTCACGTGATATCTGCATTGACGGTATATGTCAGGTATGAGTTCCTTTTTTGAAGGTTCATAGTTCCGAAAGTTCATTAATTCAAAGGTTCATATCCCCCCAAAACACAAACAAACGAGATAGGGTTCATAATACCGAAACCCTGTATCGTTTTTCGAAAATACTTACCTTCGAAATTATGAACCAAATTTAATATTCGGAAGAATGGACCTTCGGAATAATGAACCCTTGTTTATTTTCGGAATTATGAATAATAAATGGAATACATCGAAAAGAAGATATAGAAAGGGGAGGGGGGGGTGCTTCAAAGGCACTTTTCCCCGTCCTAATACATGAAAACTACTTTTACAATAATTTCATTTGATGTTAATGGAGAATATATTTAAACTTGCAGTATCTCTGTATTTAAGTATTATATGAAGCTCATATTTTGAATATAGCATAGCCATATGGAACCCCAATCATACTGAAGAACAAATATATTTTTTAGTGATTGGTACCTTTTAAAAATACGCTTTTACCCCCAGATGGTTGGTTGTGATAATGTTGTCAGCTCAGGGGCGGTGGAGAACCGATGCGGTGTATGCCGCGGGGATGGGTCATCCTGCCTTACAATTCAGGATAGTTTCAACACGAAGTATGGACGAGGTTTGTACGATTCGCTTTATCTAACCAAATTATTCAAATGGAACGATTCATACATCTATGTCTACTTTTTGTGATATCGCATACAGTGTATGATTACCTAAATTTTATTTGAACAACGCGATAGCAACTTCTTATGAAAAATAAACCTTAGACAGTTTCACTGACCTTGTACGTCGACTACATTGCAAAGACGTAATATGTAATCTGAACATGATTTCTATGAAATATACAATAGGGTATTGAATTTTCCCCTTGATTGAATTTTTTTTCTCGAATGTAGTTGCCATCGGGTTTTGGTGAGTGGGACCTTATTGTACAAAAAAAAATGCTTGAGAATTGAGAACAGCCATTTTATTAGGAGAAGACTTTAACTCATTTTATCTAAGCAATAATTTCATCACAAAAAAACAAAAAAAACAAAAAACAAAAATCACCAAAAAAATTATATTAACCCTCAATGCAAGGGTTAAGGGTTCGAATCACATACCGGCACCAACGTAAATTGGCAAGACATTTATCCACTTTTGCCACTCTCCACCCTGGTGTAAACAGGTACCTGGCAATGCTAGGGTAATAGGAATTGCAGGGTTCCACATGAAGAGCAGTATTAATAATGATGTTGCTACCCTGGGTAAATAAGACCCCAATTATAATTGTAGTTTATATTATTGTAGGTTATGTGGAAATCACCGTCATCCCTGCCGGTGCTAGGAACATCGTGTTGGATGAATTGGTCTCTTCCCAAAACTACCTGGCCATTAGCAATGCATCAGGACATGACCTGCTAAACATGGATTGGTATATTGATTGGAGCGGGGAGTATCAGGCCGCAGGGACCATTATCAGCTACGAGAGGATAGACAACAAAGAACGAGTGGAGATACTAGGTCCCATCAGCGAACCACTGCACATCTAAGTAAATAGGGGCTTCACTGGAATATCTTTTATGGGATTGTGTTTCAAAATAATCATAATAATCGGAAGGGATTTTCTGATATATTATATCAACAGAAAATGACATAGATTATTAACAAGCAACGATAATAGCAATACTAAACAAAACAAACAAACTCTCACTTTTTGAAATTTGTTAAGTAGTTTTGAAATGTGCATTTACGAGACAAAAAAAAAGAAAAGGTTTCTAGAACCATTTTTGAATAGGCAAATATACCATGGATTTGACATACCCCATCAGTAATATATGTACCCGCCTGACAGGTTGAAAAGAAATATCTCTGTCGGTTAAACTGGTTTTGGAGTATCAAAAAAAAAAAATTATACTTGTATGATTTATTGGGGTAGATGTGCTGATCAACTGTTTTATAGTTTGCTTTGTCATTGAGTTTTAAAACAATAACATATTTTTTGTCAGGTATTGATTTCAATAATATATACCCATTGTCCCATTAAATTGTTAAACACATCATGTACGTCGTATCAGAAAATATGTGATAATATTTTCCCTCTCCCCTTTTCCAGCTCATATTTCAACGAGCTCAGAACCCTGGCATAACATACAAGTATACCATGCCGAGAGAAGGGAACCAGACTGCTGTCATGCCGCAGTTCTTCTCCTGGGTCTTTACCGATTGGTCCCCGTGTTCTGCATCCTGTGGCATTGGTTAGTTGTCCTTATCCCTTGTAGCTATGTTCTGTGAAAGCTTTATAGTGCTACCGAACCGGCAAATTAGGCAGATTCAAAAACAACGAAACGAGGAGAGATTATCAGAATTCTCGCCATTTCTTGAGACAAAAAAATGAAAAGAATCTTGCCAATGCAGTTGATTATTTTGTGGGAAAAGGACAGCCAAAAAGTATTCATCAAGTCCTTGACTCGAGCTTCTCTAAAGAGAAGGCAAAGGAACATGATCAGTTTTTCAGTTGGTCTCGAGGAACATCTTAGGAAGTCAAAGTTATTAATTTAAGACAGGTATCACGCGTTTTGGTCCTTAGTACTGGTTGATTTCACGACGTTCTGGCATTGTTATCTCTTCTTCATTATCCTCATAATTTGATCTGATGAGAAATTTATTTCGTCTTCATTTCGTCTTCTCGATGGCATTCTTCCATAAAGGGTTTTTATCATATATATATGTCCTGTGGTTCGTACAGACTTGGACCCTGTTTCATAAAACTTCTTATATGTAACAAATGTTAAACCTCAATGACGAATTTGCTCTCAGCCAATCAAATACAATGATTTCAGTAACTTACAATGTTTATTGTTCTCGTTTCTAAGTTTTAAGAAAACAGGGCCCCGGTTATTCACATTTTGGACTGACCATTGAAGTCACCATTAAAGCAGTAGCGACTAAGGGCCGAAATCTGGTTATCTGGTTATTGTATAGGCAAACCAAAAACCCGATCAGTAGACTAACTTGGTTTTAAATACATTGATTCACGTCGTACGATGGTCCAAACCTAACTCTTTAATTTATTGAAAAACAATTATGCATTATTGTTGCATGTTTTTTTAAAATTTTGAATGAATTTTTGTGTTTTTTATTGCGATATCAGGTTATCAGCGTTCGAGTGTGATCTGCAAAGAGTTGATAGCCGGCTTGGTTGATGACCGATACTGTGAAGGTATGAAACCAGACGACATGCAGCAGACATGCAATGAACAACAGTGCCCTGCCACGTGAGTTTGTTTTTCACCCAGTTGGATCATTCAGCAAAATCTTTCATTTTCTCCAGCCATTGAATAAAATCTGCATTCCATTTAGCGTGAAGGCGAGGCTACGTCTATGTGAGGCCCTTTGGCCTATACAATGTTGCAGTCAGTAATATTTCTTGTTCCCACCATATTTTATCTGCGGATGACATTTTAAATAATCTCCAAACAGTATGGATGATGATAAATGTATGTCTTGTCTTCCTGGACAAAGTTTTGTTTTGGAAGATCAAGTTATGAAACTTATCAATTGATTCCTTCTGTTAGTACTCAAAAAGCCTCTGATGATTTGTGTAACATACATAAATTTCAAAATTGCACTGAAGTTATAAAAAGACATGTCAGGTTCGCACAGAATAGTTCTTGACCAATTCGTGTTGCTACAGATGGTGGGAAGGGCCTTGGCAACACTGCACAGGAAGCTGTGGAGAGGAGGGGCACAGACAGCGATGCGTCTTCTGCATACGTGGTTCCACCAACGGCGAACAGACTGTCCTCGATGACGTCGACTGCCTTAGTCAGGACCAAGAGAAACCCGTCACTAAGACCACATGTGCGGTTGACCTGCACTGTGAATCCAATGACAACTGGCAGACAGGAGAATGGTCGCAGGTTAGTGCGTGAAGATGATCGCGAAACATAATTGCACGGTCAGGTTCATATTTCTATGTCATTATATTGGAGGAATAATACTGTTAATTCAGTTTTATCTAATGTGAATTTACGAGTCGTAGGAAAGCAGTCCACCTCTCGACAGCTCTTGCATATTGCTCTTGAATATAGGCAAAGTGACATAGACGGGGAGGACCAACACAGGAAATACAATTGGAAACGAAGCCATTTTTTGTCTACTGCAAATTGCTCGAATAAAATGTATAAGATTATGAAGTAGATTCGATATTTTTTTTAAAGGTTTTGTGATTTCCACCACTACCCCTACTGAATGTTTATAATATACATACCATACCATACATAAGAATGATTTATTCCTATATATTTCCCTAAAAGTGTTCCGTTTCGTGTGGCGGTGGGTGGCATAGCCGGTCTGTAATCTGCACGAACGTCATCAAACCTTGCGATGTTGCAGGAAAGCCCAGCGACAGGAGACCATGCTTCTAGGAGACAGGACTTCTACAACGCTGTGCCAGAGGCTCCTGAAAGCCGCTCCTACGCAGACGAATCTTCACTAGACCAATCATCAGCGAGCGTGTCCGCTAGCAGTGACTACCCGGCGAATTTTGGCGAGTGGGAGAAGAAGATTGCCATCCAGAAACACGAATCGGCGGCTAATACTACCACAAAGCTGCACCCACCTTTGCCACCTGAAGAAGCGCCTCACAAACCTAACTACGAATTGAACATCACTACCCATGATATTGATGTCATAGAAAAAGAGCGCAAGGATTCTACAATAAACCAACTTCCGGTTGTGCCAGATTCTCCATATGTAAATTTTATCTTATTCCCATCTGCCCTGAACGACAAGCATCCATCGGCTTCAGATACTGCTACTCGTCTGCAACATCAGTCTCAGGAGCCTTCGTTTGGATGGTCAAAACAACCGTGGCAGCCGGTAGGTCATGACCTTAATAGCTTTTTTATTTGTAAGTCTAAGCAATTTGACAGGGGTTTCATGAACATAGACAAATTATAGTTATGCCGCAGAGCATGAAACTAGTATTTAAAGAGAAGGTTGAGTTCTGGGAAAAGGTGAAAATAATTTGTGAGCGTTATAATTGTATTATGCAAGTGTGGGAGAACATCAGATAAAAAAATGTTTTCTGAAAAGCATGGCTCTTCAAATGTCTTATATTCTAAATATGGCATGTAACGTCATACAAATCGGGACGGATTTTTATGCCATATGTTCGTGTGGTCCCATATACATCTGTATGTGTCCAGTGCTTGTAACTTCACCAAGACTGGGCCAAATTTCTTATCATTTTGATGACTCCAGAATCTTGCAGCACACACCAATACTTACATGCTAGAGATCAACCTTTTCTGATCGATTCCACAACGTTTCTTTCACAACGCAATCGCATGACCAGAATTCAACTTTAAGCCTATTTTTTTGAGTAAAACGTGGATAATATTTGTGTAGGAAAGAGGAAGTATATATGACGTGACTTGATACCTTAAATGTCGCCAATGTATATGTGGATACATCTAAAACATTGAATAATAAATCTTATGTACTGCATAAATTATAAATCATATTTTGGGAAGGGTGAAATGAGTGACCTATTTCTTACCTTTGCAACAACTTTGTTGGTCCTATGTCAAGCCTTTCACCAACTTGAAAGTTAATACACAGTGTGATATCTAAATGGGGGGGGGGGGGAGGGGATATGTTTCTCACTCCCACATTCCTCTGATGCCCACCCATCATGTCATTATCATCTCAATTTCTTTCACAGTGCTCTGTAACTTGTGGTGATGGTATCCAACAACGAATAGTGGAGTGTGTTGATAGAATCACCGGCCAGAGGACACCAGGATGCTCCCAAGAAAATCAACCCGTTTCATTGCAGTCTTGTAACTTGGGCAATTGTCCTCAAGGTATTATTGACAATGCATATTGCTGTCATAATCATATATTAATTGCTCTTGTTGCTTAATAACAAGCATTTATGCTTTCTTAGCAGTCAGGTAAAATAACCTCCACTACCACTACCACTATCACTACTCTAATCATTGGTAATAAAATTGTAAGCAAAATAAGAGAAGACGGAGAAACGCCGTTCTCATTGATGGCACACTCTTCAACCATCGTCAGTGACCTTCATTCAACCATTCACCAACAATCTAGCTGACGTTGCAGCTTTCTTCTCTGCTGCTCCCCAACTCTGGAAAAGGCTCCCACCTCAACTGACATAATCACCAACTTTAGAACAATTCACAGAGTTTGAAGCCGTATCTATTCTGAAACCATTGCCCCGTTACACAAAACTTACCATCGATGGTAATTTTGCCATTAATGGTAACTACCATGGAAACCTTGATTTTGACTGGCTGTTGAGTCCCGTTACCATGGTAGTTGCCATTGATGGCAAAGTTACCATGAATGGTAAGTTTTATGCAACGGGGCCTATATGCATTCATTGAACTCACACTGTCACTGCTTGGCAGTTTTTTTTAATATATTTTTATTAGAACGCTGACCCAGGGATGGCATATCTTGACGCCTTGTTTCCAGTGATAAAAAAGCGAAATAATAAATCCCATCTATTACTCTTGCT